AAAAGTATAAGGGAATAAGCCAGGAAGAGATAATATAGGTAAAAGCAATATGAAGTAATTGGCATACTGAAAAGCACCAGAATTGAGAAATAAATCTAAAAACTGGATATGTGTTCACTTCGGCAGCACATATAATAAATCTAAAAATTGGATAATTACTGGGAGATCAGGGAAAGAGATAAGTAGATAAGCCACTGGCAAGTAAAATTGAAGGACAAAAGGGCTGCTGGTGAGGATGTAGAGAAATGGGCACCCTCCTACACTGTTGGTGATAATGTAAGCACCCTACCAACAAATATGCAAAATTAAAATGGAATATATAACAGAAAATTAAAAACTTAAAATAAGTGATCCTATATTTTAAAACATTTCTAATGTATTTGAAAATCTCAGTGAAACATACAATTTTCTGGGAAAAAAATTCCTGGAAAAACTAAATTAAAGAGAATTAGAAAATGTGGAAAAAAAACCCATAATTATTAGCAACAAAAAATCCAGGCCCAGATATCTTATGAGTATATTCTCTCAGAATTTCAAGGAGTAAGTAATCCCCATGTTATCTATTCAATATTTTACACAGTTTAAAAAAAGAGGGAAAGCTTTCCAATTCAACCATGAACTCTGGTACAAAAATGAACAAAGAATACAAATAAAAAAAATACAAACTAATGTCATTTATAATTACAGATGCAAAAATAACAACTGTAATAAGAAGAAATAAAATTAGTCGGTACATTAAAATAAGACTACACCATGACTAATCAGGGTTTATTTCATCAGTAAATTTGAGAAACAAAAACCAATAAGATATGCCATAAAATGAAATGCAATTTCTCATAGGAACTCCTAATAAACTATGAGTAGAATGTTCTTTTAATAATAAAGACTATCTTAAATATCTTAAAACTTAGTGGTGAAAGAGAAAAAACAATTCCATAAATTAAAAATTGCACAAAATACCTACTATCATGTGTATTACTTAATTCTTAATATTCTAGGCAGTGTAATATGAGAAGGGATGATAAAAGGGGACATAACTGTCAAAAAAGAGAAAACATGTCTGCTGAAATATGACTATAACTCATAAGTTCAATCAAGAGGAAAATTATAAAGTGAACCAGGAAAATTTATTAGCATCCTAACTATGGTAACAAAAAGAAACTAGAATGAAGAATGTCTCATTCACAAGAACAAGCAAAAATATTAAATATTATAGAGAAAATATCAAGAGAAACATGCAGAATCTATATTTAAAAAACAAATCATCATTGAAGGACATTAAAGAATAAATGATTCTAAATGAAAAAATTCAATACTATAAAGATGCCAGTTCACCTTATAGTTTTATATAATTTTTCAAAAACTTATTTTGAGATTTTAATGAACACATAATTAAATTAAATGTAAGCCTAAAATAAACTTTAGAGAAGTATGCAAACACCTTAAAGAAAAATTATGAATGTGGTCTTGCATTATTTACTTTTCAAAGATACTATAAAGTTACAGTGATTAATATAGCACAGTACTAATAAAAGTTTAGATGGATCAATAGAATAGAACCCAAAATTGAGAAATGTATCAAATATTCAATCAGTATGGTAGAAGATGTTATTTAAGTCAGAGAGATAACATCTATTATTTAATTAATGATAAAGATATATTTGGTTAATAGCTTAAGAAAAAAATTAAGTTGTATCTCTTGTTGAAATTACATATCAAATATACTCAAGAGGAATTAAAGGGTTAAATGATTAAAAATATAGTCATAGAATTGGAACAAAATATAGCAGAGTGGGGGAGGCCTTTCTAAACAAGTTCCCAACATAAAGGGAAGGAGAGATTTGACAACAAAAATCATAATGCAAAAAAAATGACAAAATGAAACACCTATGACAGATAAAGGTTAATACCATTAAAATATACACTAAAAATCATACAGAACCATAAGAACTAGACAAATCTTTTAAAAGAAAAATGGGCAAACAACATAAACAGGCAATTCTCAAAGGAAGAGACATTTAATACAAATAAATTTATATCAAAGTCTTCACTTGCAATAATAATCAAAGAAATTCAAATTAAATCAGCAATAGTATATCAGTTTCCCTTATCAAAACTAGCAAGAAATTTTTTACATAATAATACTTGCCACTAAGGGCAAGAGAGTACTTGTAGACACTGCAGGTGAGAGTGCAGCACTGTACCCTTTCTGCAGGGTAATGTGGTGGTATAAGGCAATGACCCTTTTAAAAAAGAACACATGTTTTGACTCAGGAATTTCACTTTTTAGGAATATATCCTGGGGTGTCTGGGTGGCTCAGTAGGTTAAGTGTCCTACCTAGGCTTAGGTCATGATCTCATCATGGTTTGTGAGTTTGAGCCCCACATCAGGCTCTGTGCTGACAGCCTGCTTCAGATTCTGTGTCTCCCTCTCTCTCTGACCCTCCCCACTCACACTGAATAAATGTTTAAAAAAATGAATGTTAAAAAAAAAGGAATATATCCTATAAAGATAGCTATTAATTAACACTGAAAATTATTAGGAAGTTACCCATATTCAAGTTTTTCTTTATAATGACAAATAATTTAAAAACTACTTAAAGGTTGAATAAAACACTCAAATTATGAGAACCTCACTTCATACAATATTTTCTGTAAATAAAAATATTTTAGATGACTTAATCAGCTATTGATATAATATATTATTAAATGGGAAGAATAGATTATAGAAGAATAGTAAAAGATGATTCTAATTTTAAGGAAAAACTTTAACAAGTATATGCACAAATGAAAATGAAAAGGATATACAAAATAATACAGGTAGAATTAAAGAACCATGTTTTGTGCATGTATTTCTATATTTTTGCAATAAATATGCAATGAAGGAATTTATTTTAAATACATTTACAAAAAATTTTGTAATGAGGATTGTTCAAGATCTAAAATACTGATAACTCACAATAGTATGTATTTCTTGGAGACAGTATTTAAATCACATTAAAATTTCTGAATAATTATAACTAATTTATGTGGATAATAACAGGGCTGATCTCACCTAGACTAAAAATGCCTGTTGAATTTTAGCAGTGGTTGAATCTAACTATCTGAATACTACTGAAACTATTTTTTCAGTTTTTATTATATTATTGGTGTACTTTTTGTATAATAGCTATGATGAGAAAATATTAGGATGTAAAAGAGACAATTATGTATAGTAAATAGAAATGAAAAATTTAGTAAGAATCTTATCTTCTATGCTCATAAAACTGAGAGCAGTACACAAATGAAAGTTCACATATCACATACAGAATCGAGAAAAAAAAGTTAAAGAATTTGAAAAGTCTAAATTTGCATGTATTTTGTTTTGAGATTTAGATATTTTGATCATCGAAGGCTAGAACAGTTTTTGCATCATGAAGTCATAATCAAAATGCAAAATAAAGATTGAAGGGGGGGAGGGGAGAGGAGGTGACCCAAAGCACAAAAACTTGATGCTGAATCATAACGTAACAAAATGTTGGCTTCCACATTACTAAGAGAAAGCAAGACCCCCATCATTTATGCTGGCAAAAGCTTGCCTTTGCATAAACCATTTTTGTTCTCACTGTTATAAAACCAATGACTTTGGAAAGGATAGAAAACACAGAATGACGTGCAATGTAGCACGCAACATGTTATTGCAGCTGGATAGAGAATATGTCACTAATGAATGGCTTTCTTTCTACCCATCATTTATAAGTTAAGATTTTTTCCCCCAAATAGCAAATGCCCTTTATGAGTACAGAACAGAAGCAGTAAAATTCAAAATAATATTCTATTTCCACTTAATTTTAATACTGTATTATTTAATGAAATGAGTTATTAATTATTCCCTGGGAAAGAGATGACTTCCTTTTGTCTTTATTTGAATTGAACACAACATGCCTGAACACCAGGCAATTTTCTGTAATAAATTAAAAATAACATTTTCATCAGAGAGTTATTGCCAGATGTTTACTTAAATATTATCTATGACCAATAGGAAGATTCACCTGCAGTTGTTTGATAACTTCAGAAAGCTAATGTGATTAAGTTCCCAAATTATTAGTGCAAATTGGAGTGATGACTGTCTGTCTGCAAGAGACAACTGATAGAATTAATTAATGACCATGGACTCTATTTAGGATAGCGAAATTAGTAATAAAGTACTCATCTCCATAAAGGCATCAACAAGATAGAGTTAAGGAAAAAGAATAACTTCCTGACAGGACAACTTAATTTTTAATGGTTCTTAACATGTTTGAAAATAATAATATCAATCACATAACCTTCAGAACTAACGATCCTCATCTTTATCAAGGTCAGAGGTCATGAAATGTTAAATCCTATGAAATATGACAGATCAATCAACCTATGATCCTATGGGTATATTAATAATAACAGCAATCCCAATTTACCCTCATTAGTGTTTTCTAAGTGCCAGGAACTGTTCTAAAAGCTTTACTTGTATTATTCCTCTTAATGAGCCTATGAAGTAGGAACTGTTATTATCTCTATTCTAGATATAAGGAATTTGAAACATAGAAAAGTTCAGTGACTTGCCCAAAGTCACTCAGCTAGTAAGCAACACAGCCAGGACTTGAAAAACGTAACCAAGCCTCAGAAAACACCCACAAACCATTATGTACAATACATTCAAAAAACTCTTTTTTATAGGTTCTACCCTTGACCCTTTATGACCAGAAGAAATTCAAATTAATGATTTGGATTCATAAATTTTAAGTTAATGAAGCAATTTATCCTATAATTTACATATTTATACACTAATAAAATCAGAAGGCAAACATTTCATTCTGTAAATGTTATAAAGAATAAAAGTTCAAGGACACATAATATATTTACCCTCTTATATATAAACACATATTAGAGTTGAGAATTTAATATAGGATACAGAGATCAGCATGTTGTTACACAAAATAACATTCTCTACATTGATATATTCGATATTTTGTATATTATACCTTTAATTTCTCCAAGAAGTTCACTGGTATTTAGTCTTTCCATTTTTTCCTTCCAATCTTTTGAAAGTAGTTTTTCCATGCAGGAGGAATCTGTTAGAGTTAAAAAGTAAGTATTGAAAATATTATATATATATATATTTTACAAGTATTAAAATACTACAAATCCAAAGCCAGTTTATGGAGAAATTCTCCCATTTAAAAATGATCAAGGCTGGGGCGCCTGGGTGGCTTAGTCGGTTAAGCGTCCGACTTTCGCTTGGGTCATGATCTCGCGGTTCGTGGGTTCGGGCCCCGCGTCGGGCTCTGTGCTGACTGCCAGCTCAGAGCCTGGAGCCTGTTTCAGTCTGTGACTCCCTCTCTCTCTGACCCTCCCCTGCTCACGCTGTCTCTCTCTCTCTCTCTCTCCTAGAAATAAATAAAACATTTAAAAAAAATAAAAATGATCAAGGCTATATTTTGTTTTTGTTTTAACCCTAGGATATAGACAAATATATTAGTGTATCTATTACAAAATGCCATAACTAAATTTAATTTTACCAGATTACTTAAACTATTCCCAAGGAGGGGGGAAGGATAATGCTCAATAATCTTATCTTGATATTATAAATATAATTCTATTAATATTCAGTCAGCATTTATCATTTCTTAGACTGATAGAACAGAAAGAGGGCTTTTTCCTATGAGATTTAAGTTTAGATATTATTCTTTTTAATACAGGTGATTTTTTTTGTCTAAGCAAAATTCATGTGCTGTTCAAAGAAGAATGACAAATCTTCAAGAGGGAAGGAACCAGTCAAGCTGTAACCACATAGTCCTTAAAAAAATAAACATATGACAACTTTTATAAAATACCCATTTAGAGGAACATTCAAAGAAAATGAAGATGTTTTCTGTCCCTCAGTAATAAAAATTGCTAAAACTTTTCTATAGAAAAAGACGCATATTCTTATAAAGAAAATACTCAGTTAAACACTATTTGTCCTACTGCATATCTAACTAACATACTAGATTATAGGGAGTGATTATACTTGCTTCTATAAAGATCATAAAGGTTACAGAAATTTAATTTTAGAATGCCCTAATAATTAGGAAATTTTTCTCAATGGATTATTTTTCTCTATTTAGATGGGTTTACAACTGGTGCTACTGCTTACAACTATTTATATGTATCTTTTTAAGCCTCAAATCTTAACAATTAGGCCATGTTTCCAAAAGAGAATGCAGATTTAAGTACTAAATCCTTAGTGCAAAGCATACTCCCATTAAACTTTAACATTCCAAGTGTCAAAATTCTGATAACTTCTTTTAAAATCATATTTAAAATAGTTACTCCAATTCCAAATGCCTTTCCTCTCCCATATCAGTACCTATCTATTTAGCATTTTCCCTTTCATTTTTTTCTCCAACTTCTAAATCCTCCTTGAATTTTTCAGAATGACAATAAGGTCAAGATGGATCTAACGGGTTTTAGAAACTAGATAAGCTTTAGAAAAAGACAGTGAGCACTGGGTAAGAGATGAGAAGACCACTGCATCATTAGAAAGTATTGGCAAAAACAATTAACGTTTGACCATGACATGGTCAATCAATCAAGAAATGGATGGAATCCAGATCAGTGTGTCATGAAATGGCTGACGAGGAACAACCATCCTAGCTCACTATCACAGAAGTTAAAGTTCGTTCTAAATAGAAGTCAGCTTTATTCGATTAAGTGAAAGCTCACTGCCCCTTCCCTTACTTTGTTCCTTTTATCCTTCCCTCCTCCTTTTCTTCCATACTTTGCTATTAATTATTTTCTTAGGCTTCAACAAGTGATTCTACTACCATGATTAAAATATGGGTTCTGAATGACCTTCCAAAAGGGCCTATGTGCATATGCACACAACACTTTGTATTTCATTTCCAAAATGGTCTCTTGCTACTTTCATTTTAAATTTAAAAAATAAGGTATATACTTTGTTTTATACCTATTTTGTGTTTATGCTAAAGTAATAAAAGATAACACTAAATTTGGATTAAGAAGCAAATCCTCAAAGCCACATCTAACAGAGATTAGTTTTTCTCAAATCAGGTTTAAATTTCTGAGAGAGATTGATATAGCATCAGATCATGGATAAGAATAATTTGCAAAATGTCTTCAACTTCCTATCCTACCTAATTCTGTCACTTCTTTTTTTTTTAACCCTTTCATACATGTTATAACATTGCACTAAACTGATAATCACTGATATAAATGCTAAAGCATAATTTGTTTGGTTCAAATTTGAGTTGAGAGTATATAGTATAAATGGTAGAAGACAAAAGCCCAAATTACTAGTAATGATCACAAATTCAGAGCAAGTTCATAAACTAGGATTATATACACACTAAATGTAAAACAGGCTAAAATATGTCTCTCATTTCTATAAATAGACCTAAAATCTTTCAGAGCTCCAGGAAAAGAATGCTAAAGCTTCATGGGAGAAAAATAGAACTGTATGGACAACAGAAACACACACTTCAAACATAAATCAGACCATGTGTACACAGCTTCGCATAAAAGCTACTCATTAATAAAATGGTTAATAACATCAAAGCATTTCACATTCCTATTAAAAAATTAATCCTCACCATAATGCTGAGTTAATCTAGTTAATATGAGTTCCCATTTCAGTAGAAGAAACTGAGGGGGAAAAAATAAAGCAGTCTTTCCATGTCTATATTTATAATTCATGAAAATAAAGGCAATCACTGATTGCCTTTGACTATAGGACAATAAAAGTCACAACATACCACCTTATCAATGTTTAATCTCAATTCTAAGAGATTCCAGGAAGATTCAAAACTCAGGAAATGTCTTAAGGACTCTCAGCTTTCTCACCTAATTATCTGACTGCCAAATCGCTATGATTAATATTAAGCATGCTCCATACTATAATGTAAAGCAAGTAAGATGAGGGAAAAAAGACCTGAAGATTCAGATTGTTAAGAAATACTGCACAGGCAAAGGACACTACTGCCACCATTGAGAGGTTTCTGACTCACAATGCTGAAATATGTAATAGATACAGTTGTAAATGAAAATTTATATTTTCAAATTTCCTACTCAAAACAATTTCCAGGTAAAGGTGCAAATTAAAATAAAGTATTCATCCTCTATGTGGCACATCCTTCAACAACATTACTAAGACACTAGCTCTGCAGAGTTAATTGATCAGATCAAACTTTACCCCAGTCTGATCAGACGCAAATGCGAAAACCAAAGGGGTCAGAAAAAGTAAAGAGGTCCAGTTTGTATTATGTACAATGGGAGAAGTTAAGACCGTGCAGAATTGATTTAACTCAGTAGTCATTCAGGATGCCAAATGGAATAAAAGAATGAACTTCTCCTAAATATTCTTGATTATTCAAATTTTAATATTTTGACTGAGCTATTTTCAGCTAAAAACTAAGAAAGGAACTAAATGCTTTCTGGAAATTAATAGAAAAAACCACAACATTACAAAGCAAAAAATGTTACAATGATATGTACATATTAAAATGATAATATTTCAGCATAAAAGTGGAAAATGTCAAAATTAATCCATGTTACTTTGAAAGAATTAGTGCCCACAAACCAATACATATTCAGTGAAATGGAGGACTTTATTATATTTATCCTTTCTAATTTTTGTAAATCATGTGATTAAAACAAGACTCAAAAATCAAGAGCTGGGCTTCAATTCTTGCTTATATTTTAATCAAGGATGTAAAAGGTTTTGACATGTTAAAATTCTCAGTTGCACACTTTTTCTGTTTTTTCTCTTTTCCTTCACAATTTAAGAAAAGTTCTTCTCTTTCAAGAAACTTTTTCTAAAGAAAACACAATTCAGAACTAATCTTTAATAAATATCTTGCATAATGGATTAGAAAGCAATGTTTCTGCTTCCTAAGTATCTAGATTTCAGGCCAGGTAAGTCAAGAATGCTTGATCATGCTAACAATTCCTCACAGTACAGAAAAATTTGAAGTGAGAGTATGTGACATATTTATTTCCCAATCTGTATATTTTATAAACAATTTTAAATTATTCCTAGTTAAATAAAGCCACAGCAGTATTAACTCCTATCCTGCACAAGGTGAAGGTATTTCAAATGTGCCAAAGAGAGTAAATAAATAAATCATTGCTAAAACTAAAGCATGGGGGACTAGGAAAGAATAATGGGAAACATTTTTATTGCACAGGTACCTTAAAACAATTTGACTATGAGTAAACACTTAACTATTCCTTTGGCCTCAAAGTGATATTTAAAGTTATAAATGCTAAAACATTAGAAACATGAATAGAAAATGTCTTTAAAATATTTTAGTGTGGAAAAACAATGCTGCCACTGTATGCAGATTTCCTAATGCTTTATTAACTCTTTTAATAGAATATTAAATCAATTCCTTATTTTTACCATTGGAATCATAAATTTCAAATGCAATAAATTTTCTATGTATGTAAGAACAATTGTAACTTATCAAAAGTACCTTTGGCCTTGCTTTACAACTAGTTCTGACAACATATATTTATACTCCTGCTGATCATCCATCCCACATTTTTCATGAGGAAACAGAGACACACATGCCAGTTACTGTACATTTTTCCACAGTGACAAGTGCTCCACAATACAGTGGGATAAAATTGGAGCTTGGAGAGCTTGAAGAGCACTCTTAAATTTTAATTAAAACCCTCTAAGCTCACTAAAAATAATTAGACACTAAAATGTGCCAGTTTTATTTTGAAGTCACTATAACGTACAGAGCATACTCCCTGACGCTGCTCGTGCTGTCCTTCTCCCTCCCTCTCTCCAATGAAACAACTGATTTTCCAAATACGAACAAGGGGGTATAAATAGAGGCTTGCTCTTCATGCTGGGAAGCTGACAGAAAAGACAACAGAATGGGTTTTTTAAGATTGCACCAAATGAACCTAGAATAACTTGCCTAACAGAGTTCAAATCACTGACAAACTCTAGATAAAATTCAGTCTGCAAGAAACACCACGAGTTATATCATTGATCTTTTTTGATCCAAAAGCCAAACCTTTAACCTCTTAAATGTTTTTGCTATCTTAAAATATCTCATAC